GCCTCAAGACGGTGGTGGACCAGCACTCCCTAGACATAGCGGCGAGGATCACGCCGCTGGAGGTAGACACCCAGGTGGCCAACGCTCTCCTGGGGGCCGTGTCCGCCGCAGCGCTGGCCTCCGAGCTCGCAAGCAGAGACGCCTCCATCGCGGGGCTGCAGGCCTCCAAGGCGGACGCCAGCGCGCTGACAGCTTACGCCCTGCTGTCTGCCGTCGACACTTCCTCAGAAGTGGACTCTAAGATAGCGGCGGCCCTCCTGGGCGCAGTCACCACGGCGGCCCTGGACGCCGCCCTCCTCGGCAAGGCGGACGCCAGCGCGCTGGCCTCCCTGCTCTCCACGGTGGACGGGTTGGACACGCCGCTGGAGGTAGACACCAAAATCGCAAATGCCCTGCTGGGTCTCGCCACCGAGGCCTTCGTCGCAGCGCAGCTTGCTAGCCGGGACGCCAGCATCACGGCTCTCCAGGGGGCCAAGGCCGACGCGACGCTGCTGGCCTCATACGCCACGAACGCCGCGCTCTCGGCCAGCGAGACCACGCTCCAGAGCGCCCTCGACGCAATCCTCGCGGAGCTCGCCGCCCTGCAGCTTCCCGGAGGCGGAGTTGTTAACGCGCCGGCCTGGGCGGGCTTCACAACTTGGGAGCTCGTTCGCGGAAGCAACGTCGTTCGCAACCTGCATCTGGAGGCTCCTCTCTCTGCTGCGCTGGCCAACGGCGACGACACGCTGAGCATCACGGCCGACTGCTACTCCGTCGCAGCGGCGGACGCGGCCCTTGCGGCTGCGCTGCTGGCCTACTACACCTCCTCACAAGTGGACACTCTGTTGGGAGACTACCGAACCGGAACGGCGCAGGACGCGGAGACGACCAGCGCCATCACAGCCGCGCTGCTGGCCTACTACACCTCGGCGCAGGTAGACGCCCTGTTGGGAGACTACCGCACGGCGAGCGCGCAGGACACGCAGACGCAGGCCGCCATCACGGGCGCGCTGCTGGCCTACCGGACGGGCCCGGACCAGGACGTGTTCACAACCAACCAAATCACCTCGGCGCTGGTGGCGTACCGCTCAGCCGCCGACCAGGACACGGCAACGGCCTCGAGCATCGCCGCCGCCCTGCTCAGCTACTACACCATCGCACAAGTAGACGGCCTCCTTGCCGGCAAGCTCGGAGTCACGGAGGCAGCCTCGGCCCTGCAAACAGCCGTGCGCTTTCCGGACGATGGAGGGGCCGACGAGGTGATAGGAGAGCAGATCCTGGCCCCCACGGACGTCTCACTGTCAAACTGGACGGTTCGCCCCAGCAGCGGCTGCAGCGTGGTCCTGGCCACGCACGCCGCGGGCGCAGTGAGCGTGGACGGCTACACCCTGACCCTGGCGGTGAACCCGTGGAACATTGTGCGCACCTACAACCTGACGCCCGGCCGAGAGCTCCTCTTCGCCTGCCGCTACCGGCTCGGCACGGCCTCCAACTTCGTGGTGTACCTGTCCGAGGCCGACAACGTCTACGACCCATTGTACGGCAGCTTCGTGGGTGACCAGGGCGCCTGGAGCACGGCCAAGATGTACTTCACAGTGCCTCCGAACGGAGTTGCAAAGCTGCACTTCGGGGCGCACTTCCAGGCGCCGGGCCTTCCCAACCAGACGGCAGGAACGGTGGACGTCTACGGCCTCCAGACCCTGGACGCAACCCTGGAGGCCGGCAACACGGCGGAGGAGGAGGACACGGCGGCCTCGGCCCTGCTGCTGAAGCACGAGTTCCTCGACGGAGGGGCCAACGACGTCACGCTGGCCACCTTGGGCGAGGTGCTGCTGGAGCCCACGCTCACCACGCTAGGCAATTTTCTGGTGCGCTCCAACAGCCAGAGCTCCGTGGCCTCGGCCAGCTTCACAATGGGAGGCTTCCAGCTGGAGGGCTACGCCATGACCCTGAGCGCCTTCGCCTGGAACATCGTGCGCACCTACGCCCTGACACCGGGGAGACGCTACTCCTTCGGCTGCCGGTACCGGCTGGGCACGGCCTCCAACTTGGTGATGTACGTCAGCGCGGCCGACAACGACTACGTGGGCGTCACCGGCACCTTCCTCGGCACGGCCTCGCAGGGCGTCTGGAGCACGGCGCGCCTGGACTTCTCGGTGCCGCCGGCGGAGTCGCGAAGCTGCACTTCGGAGCCTTCGGAGGCTCGATCCCCGGGCTGGTGCAGCAGTCGGCGGGCACGCTGGACCTGTACAGCATGCAGATCAGGGCCTCGGCCTTCGAGGGAGAGTCGGTCTCCGTGACGGACCTGCTGGCGGACTCGCTGGCCCTCACGGGCTCGGCCACGCTGGACGGGCTCACCGCGCAGGGCAACGTGGGCTGCGACCAGCTGCTGTGCAACGACGTGAACTGCACCGACGTTTTCACGACGGGCGTGGACGCCTCGGGCGCAGTCTCCTGCGCAGCGCTCACGGCCACCGGCACCGTCGCCGGAGCCACGCTGTCGTCCACAGGGGCCGTGTCAGGCAGCTCGCTGAGCATCAGCGGGGCGGCCAGCGTGGGCCTGCTGAGCTCGGCCACCGGAATCACCGGCAGCACTCTCACCATCAACAACACGGCCACCGCTGGGAACTTCACCACGGTGGGCGACGTGTCCACGGGCACGCTGACGGCCTCAGGCGCAGCAACCGCAGCGAGCTTCGCAGCCACCGGGGCGGTCACGGGCGCCACGCTGACGATCACCGGGGCGGCCTCCGCGGGCCCGCTGGACAGCGAGAGCCTGGACTGCACCTTCACGGCCACGAGCGGCGGAGTGTCGACGGGCAGCGTGGTCTGCGGCGACGTGACGAGCTCGGGCACGGTCTCCGCGCCGCAGCTCTTCGCGTCCAACACGCTCACCGTGACCAACACCTCCGACTTCTCGGACGATCTCTTCTTGACGAAGAACTGGGCGGGCTGGAGCAAGCTGCAAGTGTCCAACAACAGCGCGGCCCCCGACAGCGGCCCGGAGCTGCGGCTGCTGGGCAACCAGAGCGCCAGGGTCTTCCTGGAGCGGGACGGCGGGGCGCACCAGTGCGAGCTGATCATGATCAACGACGAGGCGCTGGTGCAGACGAAGAGCCTCTCGACGCAGCTGTCCTTGACCACGAACCAGAGGAACCCCGGCTGCCTCGTGATCGCGGGCAACACGGGCAACGTGGTCTGCAACACGAGCTTCACGAAATTGTCGGACAGCAGGGTGAAGACGGAGATGGCTGAGGCCGACGTGGCAGAGCTCCAGCAGCTGTTCGACTCCGTGGAGGCCAAGCAGTACAAGCGCCCGGACATGAACGAGGACCTGAGGCTGGGCTTCGCCTCAAACGACTTCGCAGGAACGAAGTGGAAGAACCTGACGGGCACCGCCCGGTGGAGCGACGGCACGGAGATGGTCACCCTCGACTACTCGCACCTCACCAGCGTGCTCTGGGGGGTGTGCAAGGGCTTCCAGGCCAGGCTGGACGCGGTGGAAGCCTGGCAGGCCCAGCGGGGGCCGAAGAACAAGTAAACATGGCGCTGAGGGATCTTGCCGACGACTTCAACGTGCGGGACCCCCGTAAGCTGTATCGCCTTGCGAGGCAGCGAGACCTTGACGTGACGCAGGCCATGGCCTTCGAGGCGCTCAAGGCCGACGTGGGCAGGCAGGTGCAGGCGCCCCGGCCACGGGCGCTGGGGAAGTCGGCTGCGGAGGGGCCGAACGACCGGTTGCAGGCGGACCTCATCGACTTCAGCCAGAACACGCGGGGGAAGACGAAGTACGGCCTGGTGGTCATGGACGTCTTCACCCGGGAGGCTGCTGTGGAGCCTCTACAGAACAAGAACGCCGAAGCGGTCGGCCGGGCCACCAAGCGGGCGGCCCGGGAGCGGGCGGGGGACGACGAGAACTTCGTGGTCACGACGGACCTGGGCAACGAGTTTGCCACGCTGGACCGGGAGCGGCCCGATGAGGCGGTGCACCGCACCAAGCGGCCGGAGGACCGCAACGCCATGGCAGTGGTGGACCGGGGCATCCAGACCCTCAAGAAGGACCTGGCTACCAGGGTGGCCCGCAGAGGCGGCCAGTGGAGCGACCACTTCAAGCAGGCCGCGTCGGCCTACAACGCGCGCCCCCACGAGACGGTGCACGGCGCCCCGGAGGACGTCGAGAAACAGCCGGCCACCGAGTTCAGGGTGTTGCAAGACAACGCCGACAGGTTCCAGCACAACAAGGACTTGACGAACCGGCGCATGAAGGTTTTGGAGGACGCGGGGGCGTTTCGGGCGCCCACCAATCCCCAGTACGGCGACGTGCAGCGGCTGGCGGCCGTGGACTCCATGACCGTGCGGAGCACCGAGGGCCGGGAGACCCTGCTGAAGCTGGCCCTGCCGGCGCCGCAAGGCAGTGGCAACGCGGCGGGGCGGCTGACGAGGCGCGGCAGGCCCGCTGCGGCAAGGCAGCTGGACGACTTCTTGGGGCAGCCCCGCTGGTCCGGCTGATATTCTGTACGGCTGATAGGACCTTTGAGCCAAAAACACAACCGCTTCTCCAGCTGGCGACCTTGTAGCACTGCAAGCCAAAAGCACAACCGCTTCTCCACCTGGCGACTTTGTAGCACTGCGAGCCAAGAGCACAACCGCTTCTCCAGCTGGCGACTTTGTAGCACTTCGAGCCACAAGCACAAACGCTCTCCAGCTGGCAACTTTGTAGCACTTCGAGCCAGAACGCGCATTTAGGGGGCACCCCAAAAGAACAGCCGCAATGCGGTTGGGGAGAAACCATCGCGTCTTAGTGGCTTATTAGGGGGGTGGAGGACTAGGCGTTTTCCAGGCAAATCTCTCTCTCTCTCTCTCTCTCTCTCTCTCTCTCTCTCTCTCTCTCTCTTTGTGTCTTCTTTGGATACATGATGCAATGCATGTGACAATGTGAATTCCATCTCTTGGCTTCTGTGACTCTACACTCCATCCTTGCAACAAGGCGGTCTCGGCAAGAGGCAAGCTCAATTGCTTTTCCAACCATGATTGGTTTCATCCACGCGTCACACGCGACACAATCACCGTGTCAAGCATGATCCGCTCTGTATTCTACATCATGTAGAGATGTAGAGATGTCGCACGGACACATTGAATTCACTGCGACCAAGAGCCGCAGACGGATGTCTGTCAAGCGCTGCAGCCCACTTGCGCAATTCATTTGAAATGGCGCTGCAAGCTGTGTTTTATACTAGACAGCCACCCGGATTAGGAAAATCAAAACTCTACGCAGACCCTTTAGGCTGCTTGAAGCACTGGTTTTCGTTCAGGAACTTGGCCACGTAGCGGTCATTGTGCTTGTGGCGTAGCATTGCCTGCTTGAAGTGACTGCCGGCGGCCGAAACGCCGACGTTCTTTGTCCTGGCAAAGGCGACCCAGGCATCCGACACCACTCCGTAGCCCGCACACTCCATGGACGGCCTCGAGGCCATCTCCCACGTCTCAACGAAAGACTCCCACACAAACTCCACTGAATCGCCTTGCAGGTAGCTGCGCGTGGCCTGCTCCACCCACAGCGGCCACGGCCGAACCAGAGTGTCCTGCACGGCGCCGAAGACCTTGAACACCTTGAGCAGCACGTAGAGAAGCTCTGGGAGCGAGCCTCTGCTCGTCCTTGAGCCCGACCTGCACCAACCGCGGCACCTGGCAGAACTGAATCGGCCATTCTGCCGTCGTCTGTCGGTTCCCCCGTCAAGAGACATGTGCAGCCGCTCGTTGGAGCACATCACCAAGCCGAACTGAACTCGGAAGCTGACATGGTTTCGGGCGTGGATCACAGTCTTGTGGTCGCTGTACAACTTCAGTGTGTTGGCCTGGGGCCGATGCGAGGCATTCATCTCCGCAAACGGCAGGAGGCGAGCTCCCCGGAGTTGCATGTGCTGCGGAGTGGCCTGCTGGCTGTTGAAGCGGGTCAGGAGATCGGAGTCGGGCATCGCACAATACGTGCCGAACAAAGCCTGGCAGGGGCGGGATATGAAAAACAAAAGGGCAGTGGATTGGTTTTTTCGGGGCCCGTCCCTGGCCTGCAGCTGCGCGATCCACCAACTCTTTCCGTTCTTGCTCCCTCCCAGATAGATGTGAAATTCCTCTAGCTGGGACGTGCCGCAGAGCCTATGCGCTGCCCACTTCATCAACCACAGTGTGACCGCCATGTTTTCCCAGTAACTGTAGAGAACCTTGCACGCCTCGAGGGCGGGATGCTCGAACAACTTCAGTAACTTGCCGCTGAGCTCAGGCGGCATGTCCACAGTGCCGTACCCCTGCCCGACCCCGCTCTCGAAGTCCTTCACCTGTTGCAAGCAAACCTCCAAGTCCAGGTCCCGGCCCAACATCGCAAAGAGCTCTCGTGGGTAAGTCACCCCCAAGCATTTTGTGATGACGTGCTCCTGCTTGGCCAGCTGCGCGTCCATGGTCCGCACGTCGATCAAGTACCCGTCCTGTGTCATGAGCAGGCCCCTGTACTCATCTCCGTCCACTTGCAGCGCGCGGTTCCAACAGTTGGCCGCGCACTGCCCGCCAGCAAGAAAGAAGAACAAGTCCTTGTATGTGCATGCCCTTGAAGGAGCGGGACTCCAGCGGCTCTCCTCGGGCTTCTGGGCGGCATCCGCGGTCTCCACCTTGTCATGCGGGGGCTCCTGGTCACCCGCCGCGTCCACGGGCGTCTCCACCTTGTCCTGCTTCTGCGTCTCCGCCGCGTCCACGGACGTCTCCACCTTGTCCTGCTCCTGCGCCGCGTCCACGGGCGTCTTCACCTTGTCCGGCAGGGGCTCCTGGCCCTCAGTCTCCACCTTGTCCTGCTTCTGCGCCGCGTCCACGGGCGTCTCCACCTTGTCCGGCAGGGGCTCCTGGACCTCAGCCGCGCCCATGGGCGTCTCCACAGACTTGCGAGCCGTCACTCAGCTGATTCACGGTGGCGCCAGGTTCGACGGGCTCGCCTTGGGCTTTCAGCTCCTCCTGCATCTCCACCCTGTTCATCCTCCTCACTTCGATCTTTGGCTTCTTGGCCAAGGGCTCGCTTTCCACTGGCTCCTCAGAAGACGAGCTGCTGGTCTCCAGCCTCAAGAACCTCCAATCTCCCACGGACTGCTGCTCCATGAGTTGCTTCAGCACCTCCATCCTCCCGGCATCCGTGTTGCTCTGGCCCATCACTGCATCGGCCACGCCCTGGGCTTTAGCATCGCCTGCAATGACAGCGCCCTGCAGGTCATCCCAAGGGCTCATGGGAGCGACTTCGCCCGTTGTCACCCGCCCGCGCCCAAGAGAGCCTGCAACCAAGTCGAAAACCATGGGTGGCGCTCTAGACGCCAGTGCTTCTATGTCAAGCAAAATCAGCTGCATGGGCAGGGTCATGCATCAAGAAGGAAGAGGCAAAAATGTTGAGCAACATCTGCAAGGACAAGCACGTTTTCAAACTGCAAAGGCACTGACTTTTTCGGCTCTGGCTGTGGTCGTCATGGCCTCGGCAGCAAACCCACTGCTATCCCTGGAGTCCTCGGGGTCCCTGGGGTCCCTTGGGGTCCCTGGGGTCCCTGGGGTCCCTGAAAAACTGTGGTGTCATTCAACCCACTCGTGTCCCTACGTCCCCGGGGTCCCTGGGGTCCCTGGGGTCCCTGGGGTCCCTGGGGTCCCTGGGGTCCCTGAAAAAGGATTCTCTAGACTCGGGGTCCATCTCAATCTGCGATGCGAGGGCCTTCCCCTTCATTGGGTTGAAAGCGGATGCCAGAAGCAGTTATTTCGAAAAAAGGCTTCCAGAGGACCGCTTTTGGTAGGAAAGCCGGATAGGGCTAGACTGTTGTTTACCGCCAAAACGGACAAAAAGAAAAAGGGACCCCAGGGACCCCAGGAACCCCAGGGACCCCAGGGACCCCAGGGACCCCAGGGACCGCAGGGACCTTGGGGACCCTGCAGACCTTAGGGACCTTAGAGATCTTAGGGACCCAGGGTCTTCCGAGTTCCTGATATGTCCAAATGATATTGGCCTGGACCGTCTCCAGCATCATAGAGTAGTTCAAAGAAGAAAATGTCGAACTCAAAGCCACATCATTTCCCAATTACAAACACGGATGTAAAAAACAAAACATCATGTAGAAACATATAAATATAAAGATACATATATATATATATAAATATCTAAATATATAAAATTTGTAGAAACACAATAATATAAATACATGGAAAGATGAAAAAAATGACAAAATACAATAATATAAATACATAGAAATATATAAAAATGAGTACATGAAAATAAGCAATATGTATATATATATATATATATGTAGTGGCTCCGATGGAAAACGACAGATGGCTCATTGCTCCAATGGAAATCCAACAGATGGATCGTTGCTCCGATGAAACAGCAGAGGGATTCTTGATCCAATGGAACAAGCAACAGATGGATGCCAAAACAACAGAAGCTCCAGCGTCCGCGATGTCCCTGGGGTCCCTGAGGCCCCTGGCGTCCCTGGGGTCCCTGGGGTCCCTAGGGTCCCTGGGGTCCCTGGCTGGGGTCCCTGAAGTTTCTCCCGCGTCCTCTATGGCCTTGATGCGGCGGTCGGTCAGATCCTTGTTGTGCTGGAACTTGTCCGCGTTGTCTTGCAGCAGCCGGAACTCGGTGGCCGGCTGCCGCTCCACGTCCGCTGGGGCCCCGTAGACCGTCTCGCGCGGCCGGGCGTTGTAGGCCCCGGCGGCCTGCTCGAAGTCTTGCGGGCCACTCGCGTGGCCAGGTCCTTCTTCAGGGTCTGGATGCCCCGGTCGATCACGGCCGTGGCGTTGCGGTCCTCGGGCCGCACGGCCTCCTCGGGCAGCTCCCGGTCCAGGGAGGCGAGCTCGTTGCCCAGGTCCGTGGTGACCACGAAGTTGCGCTCCTCGCCCACCAGCTCCCGGGTGGCCCGCTTGCGGCGCTCTTCTCTGCAGCGACTCCACGGCCGCCTCCCTGGTGAAGACGTCCATGACCACGAGGCCGTACTTGGTCTTCCCCTTGGTGTTCTGGCTGAAGTCGATCGGGCCCCTCCGCCGCGGCGGACTTGCCGAGGGCCCTGGGCCGCGGGGCCTGCACCTGCCGGCCCACGTCGGTCTTCAGGCTGCGTGACGTCCATGTTCCGCTGCCGCGCAAGGCGGTACAGCTTGCGGGGGTCCCGCACATTGAAGTCGTCGGCCAGGACGTCCATTTTTTTACTTGTTCTTCCAGCTTGTCCAGCCGGGCCTGGAAGCCCTTGCACACCCCCCAGAGCACGCTGGTGAGGTGCGAGTAGTCGAGGGTCACCATCTCTGTGCCGTCACTCCACCGGGCGGTCCCTGTCAGGTTCTTCCACTTCGTTCCTGCGAAGTCGTCCGAGGCGAAGCCCAGCCTCAGGTCCCCGTTCATGTCGGGGCGCTTGTGCTGCTTTGGCCTCCACGGAGTCGAAGAGCTGCAGGAGCTCCCCCAGGTCGGCCTCGGCCATCTCCGTCTTCACCCGGCTGTCCGACAAGTTGGTGAAGCTCGTGTTGCAGACCACGTTGCCCGTGTTGCCGGCGATCACGAGGCAGCCGGGGTTCCTCTGGTTCGTGGTCAGGGACAGCTGCGTCGAGAGGCTCTTCGTCTGCACCAGCGCCTCGTCGTTGATCATGATGAGCTCGCACTGGTGCGCCCCGCCGTCCCGCTCCAGGAAGACCCGCGCGCTCTGGTTGCCCAGCAGCCGCAGCTCCGGGCCGCTGCCGCGGCACGCAGGCGTTGTCCCCGGAGTCCTCGAATGCGCATTCCAGGATATTGTTGAAGCACGGCAGCTGGTACGACACGCGGCGCAGGCCTCGCAGCCTCTGCCGCAGGATGGTTTCTACGTGTACGCGGCTGTTCCGGTATTGCGTCGTCTCCGAGGACACCACCCACTCCCCCTCCGGGTCGTAGAAGTACGTCTCGTCGCTGAGTTCCATGATGGGCGCCCTGCCGGCGGCGCGGTCCTCGTCCCCCGCGGCCACCAACTCCCGCTTGACGTTTTGCAGTATTTGCTGCTCCGACAGCCTGTCGGGCTGCCGGCTGGCCTCTCCACCCAGGACATTTGCGGGGAGCCAGTCCCTGCGCTCGTAAGCCCGGCCCGCGTTTTTGCCGGCCCGCCGCATTCCCCTTATGACCACTGGGATGTGTGCTACGTGCTGCGAGTACTTGTTCTTGAAGAACCGCCTCCCTAGGTTCGTCAGCTGGTAGGTGCCGTCCTCCCGCAGCCGCCGCACTAGGCCCCGCTGCCCGTTCTGCAGTAGCACGTAGTCGGCCGCACCCTCCCTGACCAGTGGCTGCCTTGGGTCGAAGGTCCTCGACTCTGGCTGCCGCCCGAGCATGCCGAAGTAGGCCTCCCCGGCCCTGGTGACGCTCCCGTCCGCGCGCTGGAGCAACGCGTAGGCGCCTCGGCCCCGCCTCAAGCCCAAGACACGGCTTCCGTCATCCGTGTCCCGGGCCCTCGATCCGCTTCCTGATATGCTCCCGCTGCCTCGCCCAGGATGCCATTGTTGTCGATTGCTTTTCTTAGGCCGGCGGAAAAAAGTGGTCCGAGCAAAAAAAAAGAGTCCCCTACATCCCCCTAAGTCCCTTGGGTGCCGGGGCCTCGCTGTTCACTTAGGCCGCCGGGGTCAGTTGGCGCGTTCGCTTACGTCTGATATCCACGATTAAAAGAACGCAGTTTTAGAAGGGGCAAGAGTCCCCGCCCGTGCTGGGCTTCACCTGCAGGTCGCGGACCTCCAGCACCAGGCCGCATTGCTTGCCCATGATCCAGACCTGCCGGGCCTCGACGCGGGCCTGGCACTCGCAACTCGGGCCTCTGGATCTTGCTACCGTCGGTGTCCCAGAAGCGGACGTTCCGCGCGTCCAGTTTGCACTTCAGGAAGGTTGCTCCCTTTCGGGACTCCTTGAGGCAGCTCTGCCACCTGTCCTTCACATCACCGTAGTCGCCCCAAATGCGGCTCGACTGCGAAGACAGCTCGTTAACGCACCTCTTCTCGAATTCCTCCCAGGCCGCCCAGGCCTCGGAATGACTTTCCATCGCAAGGCAAGCGTTCTGCCTGGTTCCTTGGTCCTCGCCGAAGCTGCTGGGCTCCCAGAGGACGTGCGTCCACGCGGACTGCCAGACGATGGGCTTCCCCTCGGACCTCAAGGGCGCCGACTTGGCTCCCTTGGGGCTGGTCTGTCGACGCTAGTGGCGATGGTAGTCATCAGCACTTGAGGGCTCTGTGGTGAGACCCGGCTTGCTGCCGCCTTTTGAGGGCCTTACTCGGGGTCCGGGAGATGGGAGCGGTGGGGAGCCGCTCGCGGGCGGTTTTTCGGCCCACGTGCCCACGTGTCCTTGCCCTTTGCCCGCATTCAGGGTGGCCAAGACTCTGGAATTTGCTCGGCCCTTGGAGTTGCCTTTTGTCACCTTTTTTAACTGCGTGCCAGGGCCTTGTTTGACATCGAGGTGCACTGCCCGGGCCTTTTCGCTGTTTCCGTTGTCATGGCCATTGTTGTCAGCAGATCTTTCAGGCCTAGGACCAACCTTGATCCCTTTGGCCCGGCGAGGCCCGTGTGGAGTGTTCCATGGACACCCCTGCCCGTGCCAGGATCGTTTGACCTACGTGCTGCCTGGGCCTTTGCGGTGCGTTGGATGTCGATGGTGCACTTGCCTTGTTTCGACTTGATTGGTGCCACTGCGCATGTGCTCGTGCTTGGGTCCGAGGTGTGCTGGACCGCGTCCTGCAGACCTGGCCGGCCGGGGCCCCCACTGCGTTTTCACCGGAACTGTAGCTCCCCCCGTAAAGTGAATTGCGTCACCCCAATTTTCTGAGTATCTTGGTTTTGAGGGCGCCCTGAGCTCCCGGACACTACTCCCCCTACGTTTTCCTTGTTTTCCGGTTCGCCAGGTTTGGATGATGCGGGGATGCCGACCTACGAGTCTGATGCCGGTGATGCCGCTGGCCATTTTCGGAGCTCGGTTTTTTTTGTGTTGGTTTCGCCGCATTGGATGGTTCTGAGATGCTGTCGTGAGGAACTGGTGGGACACTCTTGGCATCGAAGCCGACATCATCAAGGCAGCAGGGGTTTGTGGGTCGCGTGGGCTCCCTGCAGTCTCTCTGGGGTCCTTGGGGTCCCTGGGGTCCCTGAGGTCCCTGTAGTCCTGGAGTCTGTGTGGTTTTTGTGGGGTCCCTGGGTCCCTGGGGTCCCTAGGGTCCTGGGGTCCCTGGGGTCCCTGGGGTCGCTCTCTTGTTGGACACCCTCCTGCCGGGGAAACCCCCCGTAAAGTGAATTGCGTCATCCCAATTTTCTGAGTATCTTGGTTTTGAGGGCGCCCTGAGGCGATCTTCGGGGTTTTGGGTGATCCTTGTTGGCGCTCCC